CCAGTAAAACTACAAGCGGTTTTGATTGGTTTTTATAAATTGCTTAAACAGATTATCATTGGCTACAATTGAAAGAAAGATTTGTATCAGACCAGATATCCGGACATGTCTCATGGCGAATTTTTGTTTGGGGCGAATTTTTGTTTGGGGCGAATTTTTCCGTGGTCACCTGTAAATGTATATGCGGGGCGCAGAATGCACACTCCTCGCTCTGCCTGTACTAATTCATAGCTAGCACTTGCAAATGCATTTTAGTTCTGCCTCTTGGCTACGTGTTTAATTGATTCGACGTACCTAATTGAGTCCACATACCTACAGCTGCGTTTTTTTTGGGTACCATTTTTTATGTGCTGATCTGTTTTTTTTTTTTTTTTAATTTCGGATGCGTGCTTATCAATCGTGTGCTCCACCACTCGTATTGATCAGCTAGTGTTCTTCAAATGCTGGAGACGGTAAATATTGGTAAGCGAGTTCTCCAAGTGTACTCCCATCCTCTTCGTTTTCGGATTGCTCTGAGCCGCCTTGAACATTTTTAGTAACGCATCATCTTTGAAGTGGGCCCTGAAAGTGTCGATCATAGGCGTATTCAGCCTGGTATTTTTCTTCGTCAACTCCACATACTTTACCCACGTATTCAAATTCGGGTTGGTCAGAAGATCATCCACTTTCTCGTTGAGTTTCAACGCCTTGAAGGCATCATCCGAAGACATCCCAAGCTTTTTCCAATCGTCCAGTTGAATGTTCTGCAGCTTCGTCGCCATGCCTTTCGTACTATCAACCTTCGTTGCCGTTTCAGTCATCCTCATGAGGCCTGCAACGCCATATCGCTTCGACAAAGAAGTAAAGATCACGCTGTCTGCGTCGGTCTTGAATATCTTGTTGGTGTAGGTGACCCACATATTAAAAGCCGGACTCTCGAAGAGCTTGCTCCCGGTCTTGTCAAGTTTTAACTTCTTGAACACTAAGTCCGGAGATCGTTGTTGCTTTGCCCATTTCAGGAGCGTTGCTGACGTGATTATCGACTTTGCTCGGTTCGAGACCTTGTTGACATTCTGAAGGACTGGGTTTTTCTTGATGGAGTTGAGGCCAGGCATAACGACCACTCTCTCTTCGTCTTCTTCACCAGTAGCGACTGACCTCAGATACCGGATAGTGGAGACACCATTGTCCTGTACTGTGTGTGATGGACCCAAAGAAGCAGTTTCGGTTGTCATTGAATTGGCATCGATACTAGCGACAATGTTGACAGCCAGAAGTAGAACAACGTAGTGACAACGCATTGCGGTACTTGGAGGCGGACAGGAATCTGGGGGGGGGGGGGGGGTATTGCGAGACAAAGGGAGAATTTCAAAGTGACGAGCCAGAAACCAACGGCCAGGCCGTCCGGTCTGTTGGAGTTTCATTTTACCCCCACTATAT